GGTACTACTGTGTTTTATGTGCTTTTTGTGTGTATAATACATTTGTTTCTGGCATGAAAGTATATTTAATAAATGATCAGTTGTCTTGTCTATCTCATTAGCTCACAGTCTTTATACTGTTGAATTGTACTCTTTTCCCCTGGAGAAAGGAAGGGAAAGAGCGGGGGTCAGAATGAGGTGGGGCTCCATTCTTTATCTGGTACCTCATGTCATCCAAGTCCCCAACCAGGGAGAAGGAGAAAATGTTCTCTTCATCTTTTAAAGAGAGGGCTCCACTTATGGTGACTTACTCAACTCCAAAACCAAGGCTGGGGGAAGGGCACACGCAGCAACCAGAGCATTATCACTTGTAGGAAGGCGATAAGAGCTCACAGGAGGGCTCAGAGGGTCAAGCTGATTTAATTTCAATCTATAAAACAATAACTCACTCTAAAAATACTAGCATGCAATAGATTTGCTCTATCTTGACATCTAGCAAGTTTCCACAGCCCACATGAAACATTATCGTGAACAAGTGAAAGGAAGTGTCTACAGACAAGAAAAATCAATGCCACAGGTAGGCTGAAATCCAGGCTGGAGGAAAGGAAGAGAAAGGGCATAGTTAAGAAGTGGGGAAATGCCGGGAAAAAGACATCATCACAAGGATTCTCAAGCATCATCCAACAACCATATAATCATTAATTCAAGAGAGTTACTGACGTCCTATTCTGTGCAGGATTGTACAGCGGGTGAAGCAAGAGGGCAGCGACCATGGTGGCAGCAAGTGGCGGGGCTCAAATACACTTCGGATTCCGGTACCTTGCACCCTTGCCCTCAGTATAAAGGGAAAAAAAAAAAGTAAAATAAATCCCTGTAAACTCAAAGCGTTGTTGAAAAAAAATTAAAGAAGACCTAAATACCTGGATAGACACACCACGCACATTCCTGGATCAGAAGACAGCGCTCTTGGAATGGCAGTGCTCCCCAGAGCGATCCGTATATTTAACGTGGTCTCGATCACAATCCCTGCGGGCTCCTCTGCAGTAACTGT